TTTAAATATTAATCAATTATCCTTTTGTCAGTGAGAGCGCTATTCTCCAAAATCGCCTTGATAACTTCAGCTTGCAAAGTACCCCACAGCTGATCCTATTCTGTCTTATTAGCTGAAAGTGCCTCGTGACAATCCTACTGCCAGGAGGCACTTCTGATCCTCATAATGGCACGTCTCACCTGTCTGCCTGTCAATGAGACTTCGGAAAGCATCTTTTTATTAGAAACACAAATCAATATCCCCAAGGAATGACAATAGCTGCGGAAGGCCATTTGTAGCATCGTTTCATCCTTGCTGTTCCGACTGTGAGAAACTTATCATTAGGAATGGCGTGGAAATGGCAACCTGTCACAATTGATTTTCCTTAACCTCCTGTAAGAACTGTCTCCCTCCTCAATGTAATCAAGTGTCATCTGATTCAATATGTCTAAAGCTGTCCATTACTCCACTTTCCATCCTGATAATTTAAACTTCCACCAAACATTATTTTTAAAGTGTTTAGTAATAAAAACTTTCAATTTGTGCTAAGTTTTAAAGTTAAATTCTCAAGTTTTGCATACACTCCACTTGCTCCTTTAAATGAATGCTTGCTGAACTCTGCAATAAAAGACACCTGCACACTGAAAATGAGCTTTCAGAATTCCTTCCGACTTTGGAACAATCCCCATCTAACAAAATTCTGATTCCTTCTGCTGGATGTAACATCCTCAATTCAAAGAGGAAAACACACACACACAAGAAAGCAGTAGGCTAAGCACTGGACTGCTAACCAAAATGTCAGCAGCTCGAACTCACCAGGTGTCCTGCAGGAGAAAGATGAGACCATCTGCTCCCGTAAATACGGAGAGCCCTGGAAACCCTATGGGGCGGGTGGGGGGCAGTCCTATTCAGTCCTACTCTGCCCTGCACGGTCATTCTACGACAAAATCCACTTGAAGCAGTGCGGAGGTTTGATATTAAGCAGAAAGCTTTATCTTCAGAATCTATAAAATCACTAAGTCAAATGGCATGAATCCATTTGAAGGACCATTCCACAAGGATGAATGTTGTTACAGCTCTATGAATTTATACAGGAACTACTTTCTAGTGACAAAAAGGGGCTAGGCCAGGAGACCCAGGGTGGTCCTCACAGGTCCAGTGCAGGACGTTTATGGGATCAGATGAGAACCGGTGCTTTCAGACCCTACCCAGGGGTGGGGGGAGGGGGGTGTCACAGCTTGGAGTCATGAAGCAGGAGTCTGCAGACAACGCCTGGAGAGCAGACGTCACTGAGGCTAAGATGGCAGTTAAAGAAAATGTCTTCATGGCTGTTGTATTTTATATCATTTTTTATGACTAAAATGGCATGGCATCTGTCCTGCAGGATAAGATGGGACCAACAGGGAACACGGTTTAGACCTGGGTTCTGGTACACTAGTGCTCATGCCCACATCGTTTTCTTGACTTTTCTGTGTGTTTGAAGATTTTCATAACAATTTTTCTTGGAAGCAGCCAAAGAATAAAATGGCCAAAAATGATGGCAAAAAGGAGACTAAGCAAAAGGCGGCTTGGTACACTGTCATTGTTAAATGCCATCGAGTCAGCTTTGACTCATAGAGACTCTGTATAGGGTTTCTGAGGAGCAACTAGTGTGTCTTAACTGCCGACCTCGAGGTTACTAAGGCCAATGCTTATCCTACAGCAGCAGACCAGCCAAATGCTGCTGCTACTGCTCTGATTCTGCACCGACACTGTGTAGGGTTTCTGAGGCTGTACATCTTTACGGAAATAGAAAGCCTCATCGTTCTCCCATGGGCTGAGCCGCTGATGAATTTGAACTACTGACCTTCAGTTAGCAGCCCACCCCATAAACCCATTAGGCTACAAGAATTCCTACACCAGCCATATAAGACTGCTACAATGCCTTCCTGAAAATACATAGGATAAAACTACATGTGAAATAATGGTCAGTTTGTCTTCTGTCCATGGCAACAGTTACAAAGCATAATATGAAAAAAAGGTACCCAATTCTACTTAAAAAAAGGCAAGGCATGTCCAAAATTTTACACAAAAGTCTGGAGTTTTGGATATTACTCCAAGTATTAACAGCTCCTTCTCATTGTTGTACTAGAAATCTTATTTATTTCCATTTCCACAGTCATTACCCAGAATTCCTGTCTGAGCCCCCCCACTCCCCACCCTGCTTCCAGTCTGTGTGGGAACCGTGAGGGCAGAGTGCTTCTAACTTGACCTGCTTCCATGGGGCCTCCGTGGGCCTGCTGGCCTGCTAACCCTGCCCGACAGGATGCGGGATATGGCTGCAGAGCTCCAATTCTCGGGGCTTCCCTCTCCCCACCAGCCAACCATTCCTCCCTCTTTCTTCTGTTTTGGGCTCTTGAACTGGCCTGGCATTTGACAGACTGCAGCTGATCCAGGAAGTTAGGTCGTTAGACTGCACCAGTGTTGAGGAGCACACATTGCTAGGCTAAAGCCTTCCTCAGTGCTCTGAGGGGTTGTCTCAGACCTAACCACACTACCGCAATGGGGGTGGACTGCACTGCTTTCTGACACCAACACTGGGGTGGTCGCCTTTTGAAAACCCGGAGCTTTTGCAGGTGTGTACCACCGTAGGCGTCCTGGTGTGGTGCTGTGGGTTAATGCTCCGGACTGAAAAGCCGCAAGGTTGGTGGTTCAAGCTCACTAGCTTGAACCTCAGAAACCCTATACAGGGTCACTATGGGTCAGAACCGACTCTACGGCACTTTACAACAACAGCAACACTATAACAGAGGTGGGACACAAGCAGAGTATAAAAACAGCCCACGGGTATAAATCGTCTCTGCAAATCGAAGCCGCTGTGTTTCAGGTACCACTGGCTGCCCAGGGGGCTTGCTCGTCCAGAGAAATCCGCTTCTCTGCCTCCCAAGCAAGAGCCTCGTCCTGTGCTCAAAGCACCTGCCGGTCGTGACGCTGACTTCTCACACGAGAAACACACATTCTCTCCTGTGTATTCCCATAAGGATCCCTCAGCTCCTGGAGCCCTTGACCCAGGACCCTCAGGAAAGATCACATCTCCATCCCACCAAGGCATTCCCCTAGTATCTTCCTGCTGATAACTGCCATTGCCCCACCGGTCACTGCTGCTGACCTCCTCCTACTTCTCTAGTCTTCCCTGACCACTTCCCCTCTGCTTAGCCCCCGTGGGGCCCTGTGAGGGACCCTGTCTCATGGTCACATTGGGGCCATTCAGGCCCCTCATGGGGTAGTCCCATGCTCTCCCTCTGCACATAGCAAAGCATCATGATCCTTGCTGCTTGATGTGGGGAGGCCACCTAACTGGCTTCGGGGAATGTCTGTCCCTCACACCTTCCTTCTACTGTGGGGCCACTGCAAGCCCAGCTCCCTCCCAGGAGCCCGAGTTTGTCTGGAGGGAGCAGGGTGCAGGGGTGCCCCCAACTGTGAGGGCAACAACAGCCCAAAGACCATCGCCCCTCAAGTATCAGCTTAAAGGTAGATGTACTCACCTGGAACAAATGCCAGTGCCTAGGTCAAGAAGAGCCCTCCGTGAGCCAGTGGCTCTTCCAGTCTGCTTACGGTAAAGGGGAAAAGGGAAGACCCCACTGAGATGGACTAGACAGGGTCCAAGGGTCACTATGAGTCACTACCAACTAGAGAGCAGCATCCACGTGAATCAGCAGCAACAGTAACAACCCACGTCATGGAAAATACAGATCAAATGAACGGGCTTCGAAGTGTCACTAATCAGCTTCATAATTTAGGCTTAAACAACTTTAACCAAGGAGAATTACTAATTCCAGTGCAGACCTGAAACAACAGGGGTTAGCACACGCTTTCTCTGGTGCCAGCAGATCTCGTTCCGACATCAGACTGAGGAGTAGTACAATGGACACTCTCCCGACTGCACCCACCACAGGAGTGGACCTCTGGGTTCTCAGAGTGAGGAGGACTCGTGTCCTGGGATCACTCTCCCGAGTGTTCCCCAAAACAGGAGAGGATGCTGGGAACAAGCAGCTCTGCACATAGCCTTACAATGCAACATTCCCCTAATGTGTGATGGGAGAACTATTCTCATGGTATCTGAAATACAATGCATCTAATATGAAAAGTATCTCTTGAATAGAATTATTTCACTTCTACTAATCTGTAAAATGTCCTGCAAAAGACACTCTACACTATTACTGAATCACAAACCAGGTACAAATCACTGTGGTAATTCTTCCTTCTCAGAAACATCACAGATTATATTTCAAAAAAGGTAGGCAATAGGCACGTACTAAGAACTTCTCAGCTTCTCAGATTATTTGCTCAGCATACAGGTTGAACAAGTATGGTGAAAGAATACAACCTTGTCGCACACCTTTCTTAATTTTAAATCATTCAGTCACTGGAGAAGGGTATCATGTTTGGTAAGGTGGAGGGTCAGAGAAAAAGAGGAAGACCCCAATAAGGTGGATTGGCCAAGTGGCAGCATCAATGGACTGAAGCGTGGCAACAGTAGTGAGGTTGGCCCAGGATCGGGCAGGGTTTCTTTCTACTGTGCATAAGGTCGCTATGGGTTGGTACTGACTCGATGGCACCTAACAACAACAACAAAAACAACATGAGCTTCTCAAGAGCTGCACATTTCGGGTTTGTTACTCAGTCATTACAAAGCAGAATACTCTTTCTATGATTTTACTTAGGCACACACACTTTGTGTAAAAAACAATTTTTGGAACATAATCGAGTAAATCAGTCTTTACAGTAAAATGTAGTTCTGAATATGCTTCTCTTGAATGAGAAATTATTTAAATAAAACAGTCTTGACAATGTATCTAACATTACCAAATGCTGTAACAACATTAATATATACTTTTTTTAAAAAATGAAAGGAAAGTATCTCTTGAATAGAAAATTTCACTTCCACTAATCTGTAATAAAATGTCCTGCAAAAGAAAGGAAAGGAAGAAGGAAAGGAAAGCGCAAGTTGGAGCCAGCAGTGGGTCCTTCATCTAGCCTACCTTATTTTGGGGATTGGATGTGTTCATTACACTTCGAGTCTCTTTTCCAGTATAAATGACAACACCTATCACAGTACCTGCAAAAACAGGAAAGTGGTCCTTATGGAGTTGCTCCACAGGGGGCACAGATACCACCAGCCCAGGCCACACCCACTGCCCTCAGACACAGCACTGCCAATGTTGATGGGAGCACATGCTCCCTGCTGTCTGTCTGTCTGTCTCTGCTGAGCCGCTGACAGACCTTGTGGTTTGTAACCCACTGCACTCTACTTGATTTTGTGTAAATTGACTTGACAATGTGTTTAGTTTGGCTTATTCAAAAAAATAAAATCCAAACTTTTTATAAAGGGGCTACTGAAAAAGTCAAAGGATTTTTTTAGGCAATACTTATTCACACACACGACACTGGTCCATGGAGTGGCCCTGGCCTCACCTCTAACAGTACCGCTACTGCTGAAACATTGGCCAGCACCCATCCACAGTCGGTTCAATTCCCACTCAGGGCAACTCACTCAGCAGGACGCAGCCGAACCGCTCCTGGGGGTCCTCCCATGGACGTAATGAGCAGAGGCAATAGTTCTCACTGGCCAAACTCCTCATTTGCCCTTCAAGCCAGGACAGCACCAGATGAACCCGATTCTTTGTGCAAGAACAATGCTCCCGTCTAAAGATTACAGTGCTACTAGGAACACCAGGCAGTGTTCCTATAAAACCAGGTGTGGCCCTGCACTCCGCCGCTATCCATCTCTTCTATGTCACTTCAAAGTTTGGATTTCTAATGCTGGACATGCCAGGATGATGGAATCATGCAGGTTTTTAATTTAACAACCAAGAATCATCCGAGATCTGAGAGGCCCACCAACTGCAAAGGCTCCCTGGCCCTCAGCACTGGAGAGCAGGCAGAAGCCTGAGGGAGCTGATTCTAGAAGAGCCTATGCAGAGTTTGTACTTATAAATGTCAACACTTTTGTAAATGTTGACAGTGAAATAGGGTTCATGTGAGAAACAACACTCAAATAATTTAAGTATAATCCTCAACCAACCAACCACTGTGGAACTAAGCAGTGATTATTCTAAAACCATTTACTGTAAAATCTAGTGAGTCACACATCAGAACTGGGAGTAAAGTGACACACTCAACACTGGCAAGGGGAGCCTCTGCCACGTGACCTCCCCCCACACTCAGCAGCACTGGGTACAGGGAGAGAGGGACCCACCCACACTGGGCACTGCATATGACGGAGGGGAGCTGGAAAACTCAGCACTAAGTACTAGGGGTCCATGGACCCCGCAGACTCAGCACTGGGTATGGGGGAGGGGGGAACTTTTGACTAGCTGACCCCCAGAAACTCAACACTGAGTACATGTGGGCTAACACTGCACTGGGTATGGGAGAGGGAGACCTGCAGCCAGACCCCCACTCACACTCTTCTCCTCCCCGGGAGGTCGGGAGGACCCAGGTTGCTGGACCCCCACTCAGCTGACAGCTGCAGGGTGACACGTGTCCCTTCTTCTGTTTTTTTTTTTGCATTTCTTTTTCATTGGGTGTCAGGTGAGCCCTTTGCACAAACTTCACAGAGCCCCCAGTATTACTATATCTGGCTGATTCCCAAGGCTGCCCTAAGTGTGCACGTCATGAGGTCATACTACAAAAGCTTTCAGAAAGACTTTAAGCTAAACCTGATCAAATCGGCACTTGCTCTATTTTGCAAATGTAGCTTGACTTTCTCAAAATATCAAAGAAACGCTAATGTTAAGTATGAAGGCAGAAAAAGGCAATTTGTAAAATTAATTTTCTTAATAACAAACATGTTTCAGTAAAGACTTAACAACTGAAAACAGTACCCTAAAAACTGAGGCAGATTATGATCCACATTGATTACGGATGGTATTGTAAATTTAAAGGCTCCGGGGGGGGCGGGGGGGGGGGCGCTGTGGTTAATACTTGCTGGACTGCAAAGTCGGTTTGAACTACAAGGTCAGCGGTCCAAGCTCACCAGCTGTTCCTCGGAAACCCTATACAGGGTCGCTATGGGTCGGAACCGACTTGACAGCACTTTACACCAACAGTAACAGTAAAAGTTAAATCTGACAAATGACTAAAGAGGAGAGTGTAGTTCACAGGGACATGAAGGGTCCTGAGCCCCGCTCACTGGGGGAGGTTGATGCCAGATGCCCTGAGAGCCTTCCTACTGGTCTGCTTCGGAATGCCCACCGTTGCTCTTACAGAAATGCTTACAACTTCTCCTGTCTCTCAACCAAGGCACAGACTAGAGGCAGAGACCAGAAGTGTGGAAAGGGGCTGACAGTTCTGCAACAAGACACAAGGGGACACCCGTAAAGTGCACTCAGTTTGTCTGGTACCAGAAATAAGCAAAGACATGTTGTGAATATTTCCCATTTAGTGAAATACTTACATGGAGAAAAATTCACTTTAATAGACTCATTTCATCTATATAAGGGGACTTCATAAAAATCATGGAAAAATTCCACTATCTTTTTATTTCATTTCCACAAACTCTTTGAAGCCCTCTTATATTTTAAACATAATACTAAGTTCTCCTCGTCTCACTGGAAGGCTTCCACATCAGAACCATGGGCATTTGAGAATATGTTTGTGTATTAAGACCACAAACACAATGCTAGGGAGTGAACTGTGTGATTGTGCTGACACTCTCACTGGGGATGGGGCTGGGTTCTGTTGAGAGGGTTGAGCTACAAGAGCGCAGACTTGGAACAGAGACGCAGGCAGAGACGGGGAGGGTACCGCACCACAAGAAGATCACCAGGGAGCCGGGAGCCGGGAGCTGCCTGCCCCCGTCCTGGATTTGGACTTCTCATCTCCGAAACGATGAGAATGACTTTGTTTGTTAGCGCCACCCAAGACTAATAACACGGATTCTCAACAGTGAGTTAACCTTTAGAGTCCTTAGCACAAGGCATGTATCATTCTGTGCTGACCGACTGGTCTACCGCCTCGAGGCACAGAGGGGTGGTGGTCAGCCTCTGAGAGGATTCACAGCCTGGGAGCCCTGGGGGGCAGTTCTACACTGTCCTGTAGCATCACTGAGTCAGAATCAGTGGGTTTGGTTTGGGTCCCTCAGGATAATGGTGATACAGTATCCACAAACAAATCAAACTTCAAGTGGAGAGAGTCTTTGACAAGAGCGCTTTCAGTCTGGTTGGATCCCTCTGCACATGGACACAGGGCGTGGACATGCAGAGCTGGGAGGAGCCCTGGGGCACCAAGAGCAGGCGTAGCTGCAGATGCAGACACCGCGGCCAACTCAGAGTCTAGGTCTCAAGTCTGGACGTCTGCACAGGCTCCAATCATCTTCCCACACACATCGGTTTGGTCTCAATTTCTCTTTGGTGAAATACTAATTAACTTGTTAGTTATTATGTGACTTTCTGGTTACAATCGACTTAGAAAATTTCATGCAAGATCCTACCAACTTCTAATTAACACTTTAATTATATTTTAAGCAAACCTTTCCTAAAGCAAGATCAGAAAAAGTAACAAGAACAAATTTAAGAACAAAAAGTAACCAAGCAGTATTTCAATTTTATGATTACAAAATACAAATCAGCAACTAGCAAGTCAAAGTCACCAATGGTGGCTTTCCAGGCGGCCCTCTGCTATGAGGCCCAGCACCGCCTTTAAAACCCCGGATGTGTTCAATACCACATCTAATGTGAGTCACAGAAAAAGGTATCTACACACAAAATGTAAAACAAATCTAGACAACTGGTAACCCTGTTATCTGGTAGCATGGTGGGTTAGGCAGTGGGCTGCTAACTGCAAGGTCATCGGTTCAAATCAACCAGCCACTACACAGGAGAAAGGTGAGGTTTTTCTGCTTCTGTAAAGATTTACAGCCTCAGAAACCCTATACAGGGTTGCTATGAATTGGAACTGACTTGCCAGCAGTGGGTTTTGGTTTAACTTGTAATAAAATGATTAATGGCTTTATATAAATTACTGGTGGTGGTATATCATCAAATCAGATCCGATTTAGAGCAACTCTGTATAGGGTTTCTGAGGCTGTAAATCTTTATGGGAGTAGCAAGCCTCATCTTTCTCCTGCGGAGCAACTGGTAGATTTGAACTGCTGACCTTGAGGTTAGCAGCCCAGCTCGTAATCTAAACTACTATATCCAGAAAAAGAGAAAGAAATACTTCCTCAAATTTATTCAATAGACAAACGGTAACTATGGCTTTGTATTACAGGAGAAAAATGAGGCTTTCTGCTCCAGTAAAAATTTACAGCCTCGGAAACCCTATACAGGATCTCTACAAGTTGGAACCAATTCGATGGAACTTAATAAAAACAACAACAAATATTGTGTGTGTGTGTGTGTGTGTGTGATTCAGACAATCAAAACAACAAAAGCACTTGTGGACATCATGCACAGGACCCATGGGACTGTCCATCTCACCACGCATGCCAGAGTCCAGAACTGCTAGGCTGCTGTCCTCCGCTGAAGGCCACTCCGGGCATCAGCAGCAGTGTCTGTGAGCTACTGGTGAGGTGTCACCAGAACAAAGCAGAGTGGACTTCCACCCCTTTTACAGCAGGGGACCCCAACAGCTCCCAACTTCACTCATGAGCCGTATATAAGCACCTCTGCCCTCAATCAGCCTCCAGTTTGGCCCCTGGACCTAAGCCACCTCACCAGCAGCCCAAGACCCCTGCAGCTGCTGACTCAGTCTCCCCACCGTCTAGTTGAGGAAGGGCCGGGAGCTGGCATGATGTCGGTTTTCTGTCACCACCCCAGCCCTGCAAAGTGTCGGACATACAGAGGCTGCTCAGCATACGGGAGAAGCAAGCAGGAGCTGGGAGCTGAGAGTCCCGACAGACTGTGCGGCACACAGAGCACCTCATTAATGAGCATGGCCTTTGAGGCAAAGGTCTCCTTCTATGGTCTACTGTAGGTCCTAGCTGAGATGCCTGTGATTAGGAATTCTGATGTGGCACTGCAGGATCAACACTGGACTATGAACCATAAGGTCGACAGTTCAAACCCACCAGGTGCTCCTCAGGAACCCTATAAAGGGATGGTATGAGTCAGAACCAATTCAACAGCACATCATAACAGCACCATGGGGAAAGACTGCAGAGGAAGCAAAGAGTACGTATGCCTTGGGAGCATGCTCGGATTCCAGTTTATAAGGCTGCTTTGGACCAGTTCGCTCTTTTGCCTTGGATCTCACATCTGGCTCATGGTGTCTGGCCTCCACTTTGTTGGACTGCCTTTCGGCCCGTCACCTGACCTGATTCTCCAGTTCCCGCAGCAATAACCTGTCCTCTGACCAGCTGAGTGGGGTTCCTCAGCTCTGCAGACTACGTGAGTGAGTAGATTCCTCCAGATTCTGAACTATGAATTTGGGACTTGTCAGCTTCCACAATTACGTGAGCCATTTCTTTTAACAACTGTGAGTTTTGTGAGACGTTGCAACATGTTACAGAACCCTGGGACTTGAGGGAAGGGAGGAGTGGTGACTGATACCAAGGACTTCGGATAGCTTTAACTGCCCACTGATGAGCCTTAGGCTGATCTTTCTAGAAGAAACGACTCACACAGGACAGCAGAATGCAGCAGCACCAGCAGCTGCCCACAGGCACCTGCTCTCAGTGAGGGCAACATCCTAAGCTAGGCCCCTCCCATGGTTGTGGTCCCAAGTCCCTAGTCAGAGGTGCCACGGCACAGCCGCATGGGGCCAACTATGTGTGAAGGCTCACCTGATGCGACCACAGTGCTGGCCCACAGCGTGTTGTCTATACTGAGGCTCTCGTGAATGGGCGGGTCACTGTCTTCCTGTCACGGGAGAGAAAGCAAAACAACAGCCAGTTAGCAAAGGTGTTATATGACCTGTACTCCAGCCATCCACAGCCACTTCCAAGCAGTCAAAAGCGCTGCAAAGCGAAGTTCCCACAGACATCTTGTAGTTGCTGCGGAGAGCCCTGCAGTCTCGGGCTGACTCATCGCAATCCTGTATAGGGTTTCCAAGGAACAGTTAGTGAGTCTGAACCACCGACACTGCAGTGAAAACCAATCTTGTGGTCCAAATCAGGCCTTCCACAGAAACACTGCATGTCCTGGCTCTTTAAGCACTAACTAAACAGCATCAGAAAGTGCACCCAAAGCACAGACATGCCCACCCACCTCTAGATGAGTGCTCACTGCAGACACCCCACCTTCACCCTAGCTTTTCAATGTGGCTCCGATGTATACCCAACAGTCGCCATGAGCCAATTCCCACTCACAGTGACCCTATAAAAAGAGGAGAACTGAGCCATAGGGATCCCAAGGCTGATCATTACTGGTGACTGGAGTGCAAAGGTTGGAAACCAAGAAGGACCAACAGTTGGAAACCATAGCTTTTGTGATAGAAAGGATGCTGGAGATTACATGATAGAATTTAGCTAAGCCAATCACAAACACCTCTTTTAAACAACATAAAAGACAAGTATACACCTGGACTGCACCAGATTGAATCAAATTGGCTCTATCTGTTTGGAAAAGATGATGTAAAAGCTCAATATTATCGGCCAAAATAAGGCCAAGGGCAGACTGTGGAGCAATCCATCAATTGCTCACATGAAAGAAAGTTCAGGCTGAAACATAAGAAAATTAAAACAAGTCCACAAGAGCAAAATTATGACCTAGAACATATCTCCCGTATAAATTTAGAGACCATCTCAAAAACAGATTTGATACATCAAACACTAATGGCCAAAGAGCAGAAAAGTTGTGGGATGACATCAAAAACATCATCCTGGAAAGAAGCAAAAGGTCATTAAAAAGAAAGAAAAGACAAACACTGATTTCAGAAGAGACTCTGAAACTAGTTCTTAAGTGTAGAAACGCTAAAGCGGTGCAAAATGTGAGGAGGTAAAGGGGCTGAACAGAAAACGTCCAAGGGCAGTTTGACAAGACAGAATCAAGTATTATAATTAAATGTGCCAAGAATTGAAGTTAGAAAACCAAAACAAAAGAACATGCTCGACATTTCTCAAGCTGAAAGAACTGAGGGGAACTCAAGCTTTGACTTGCAATAGTAAACAAGGAGCATCAGAAGATGGAAGGAATACGTGGAGTCACGGTTCCAGAATGAAATGGCTGATGTAAAATCTAGTCAAGAAGCAATGACAACCGGAAGTACAAGTCCAGGCTGCACTAAAGGCATTGGCCAAAACCAAGGCTCCAGGAATGAACGGACTACAAATTAAAATCTTTCAACAAACTGACGTAACACTGGAGGCACTCACACACCTATGCCAAAAAATTTGGAAGACAACTACCTGGCCAACCAATTGGAAGAGACCCTATTTCTGCTCCTCCCAAAGAGAGATGACTCAACAGAATATGGAAATCATTCAACAATATCATTAGTACCACATGCAAGTGAAATTTTGCTGAAGATATTAAAAAATGGCTGCAACAGCACATTGAAAGGGAAGTACCAGAAACTCAAAGGCAGATTCAGAGGAGGATGTGGAACGAGGGCTATCACCGATGGCATCAGACGGATCTTAGCTGAAAGCAGAGAACACCAGAAAGGGTTTACCTGCTTCACTGACTATGCAAACACTCCCGACTGTGTGGATCATGAGCAGCTATGGTTATAACACTGAGAAGAACGGGTATTCCGGGACACCTGGTTATGCTCATGAGGACCCTGTACATAAACTAAATTGGTTGAATAGGCAAAGGGAATACTAAATGGTTTAAAATCAGAAAATGTGTGTGCCAGGGCTGTATTCTTTCACCATAATTATTCAAATAATCCAAGAAGCTGGATGTCTTAGGTCAGGTTTTCTAGAGAAGTAAAACCAGTGAAACGTATATACGTATATATGTATACACATATAAAGAGATATCCAGTATCAAGGATCAATGGCTTACAGTTGTAGAGTCCCAGGTTCCCAGAGGAAAAGCGAGAGAGACTTCAGGAATGTCTATTATATTGGGAGTAGTCCACACCCCAATGCAACATCCTTTCAATTGATTGGCTGCTCCCAGCCTCTCACTGTGGAGTTAACAATGCCTGAATTAGGTCTCATCACTATGGGAACAAGCACATCTTAACTGCTAATCCTCCCTCTGGAAATCCTGGCCTAGTCAACTTCACACAAACTCCTAACTATTACACTGGATTATGTGAAGAACAGTGTTGTATCAGGATTGGAGGAAGACTGAACATCCTGTGATATGCAAAGAATACAACCTTGAATGCTGGAAGCCAAGAGGACTTAAATAATTACTGCTGAAGATCTAAGACTACAACCTTCCATAATGATTGTACCTCAATGTAAAGAAAACAAAAATCCTCACCACTGGACCAATAGATACCATCAAGACCAATGGAGAAAGACTGAAGTTGTCCAAGATTTCATTTTGCATGGATCCATAATCAATGCTCATGGAAGCAGCAGTCAAGAAATCAAACATAGTGCATCAGGCAAATCTAGTGCTCAAGATCTCTTTAAAGTGTCCAAGAGCTAAGACATCAGGTAAGGACTAAGATGCACCTGACCCAAGACATGCTATTTTCAATGGCTCACATGACTTTGAGTCATGGTGTTGGAGAAAAGTCTTGAAAGCACCATGGACGGCAAACTGTGTTGGAAGCCGGACAGCCAGAGTGCTCCTTAGACGTCATACTTCTGACATGCCTTCACACTGAAGCAGCCCTGGAGAACGGCATCATGGTTGGTAAGTGGAGGGTCAGCAAAAAGGAGACCAACGCGATGGCTGGTCACCGTGGCAGCAGCATCAATGGGCTCAAGTATAACAACGATGTGAAGCTGGCACAGGACTGGGCAATGTTTGGTCCTGTTGTGCACAAGGTCACTATGAGTCTAAAGCGACTCACTCCAAGACACCTAACAAGAGCAGAAAGTTTAGGAGAGCAGACGGCCGCGTCTTAACCCCGAAGAGTGCCTAATGAGTTTGAACCTCAGTGCTAAATCTACTGCGCCACCACAGGTCCTACAAGTATGAGGGGGCTTCAAACATTGGTGGAAAAATTCTATGATCTTGTCAATCCATTTTCCATGGACCTTTTGAAGTCCCTCATACAAACAGACCAAAAAAAAATTTTAAATGCACCTGTGAGTACTATTGGACAACTAACACCACACAGACATAAAATGGTACCATATCTCTGAAAGTTCTCTTACATACAAAGCTTTAGTAAGGTGGACACTAAGCAGATTCAAACCTGAGTCGCCACTTTTGTGTACGACTACCAGAGAGGACCAGGCATCAAGAGGACGGGAGCGTCACATGCAGGCAGCTGGTTCTTCATGGGTGCTGTGCTGAGCTTGTGAGATCAAAGCAACATTTAACACCTGAGAATGCTTCAGCTTACTTCAAATCCACAGTCTGTCAGCCATTCCCTGTGGTCAGTTGGTGGGTCTGAGCCACTGACCTTGTGGTTAGAAGTCCAGTGCTTATGCCCCAAGGTGGCTCTAAGATGAGGAAATTCATGGTGATTTGGGAGGAAGGGCCCAAGGAGAAGCATTTTCAAACACAAGCTGCATGTCACCAGTCAGGTGTTTGGGGTGGGGGTGGAGGGGGCGGGGCTGTCTACATTTATTTTTCCTCTTTTTCTTGTGAACTGGGTGAATGATATACAGAGCACATCATTAGCTGTATATCAACAATTCACACAAATTTTGTTCTCTATGAACTATAATCCCCTCAAAGTAACATCACTGATTCTGTGTGTCCTCCCTGTACATCCTGTTTGCTTTCTCCTTCTTCTCAACACCTCCTCAATTGTGTCCTTGAAGAAATGTGCCCTTCAGTATGAAAACCTCTCTAGCTTACTGTTCCCCTTGTAGACAGTCTATTGTTTGGCTGACAATCCAGACCTCAAAGGTGGCTAAGAGCTATAGTCTCAGGGGTCCACCCATCTCTATACAACAGTAAGCCTGGGCTTTCTTACGATTTTGAGTTTTGTTCCACATTTCTCCCCCTCTAACCAGGATCATCTATTGTGACCCCTCCCTTTCTGAGCAGTTGGTAGTGCTTACTGAACACCATCTAGCTCTTCTGGGCTCACGGTTGTAGTAAGTAAGCATCAGGCCTGTGCTGGCTGGCTTCCCTTCAACTCACTCCTCAAACCTGGCCACATCTCTGGTGGCCACAACCTTCTTCTCTGGTGTAACTGTGAGGTTCTGAGTCTAAAGCAACCCCTAAAAGTTCCAAAATAGTTATCCCCAATATTGCCAAGTTAAAAAACACAGAATTTGTGGTGAAGTTTATTTGAGAAAGGGGTTCTGCCCACAGCTCCAAGTGGCCGGACACCATGTGGAGTGTGCCCTCCTCTATGAGGCCAACGTCTCCCACGTGGCCCTTCTGTGAAGACTGTAGAATTATACTGAGCATAACTGGGTCTGTCCACATGGAGGCTTACTCTGTTCATTCACACACATCAGGCACCAAGTCAAGAGCCCAGCACCACGTCAATAGAACCACAGCAATACAGCCAAGTCAGTGGTGGCTTCATGGGGCAGTAACGCTAAGGAACAATCAGAAAACACCAAGGGCCAGTGCATCCGGGAGCAGGGCAGGGGTGTGCTGTGCCTGCACACTCACTCACATATGTACACACAAGCACAAGCATGCACTCGCATACATACATGCACACCTGTAGAATGCACATGTACACACTCACATGCACACACGTGTACTCCCACACTGGTACACTCATTCACAGACACACAAATATTGATGGACGCATACCTGCACACTCAATGCATACAAATACAAATGTACACATGCACATGAACACTCAATGCATGCAG